ATGGGTCTCTGGATCCTTCACTGGCACCTCCAGCCAAATCTTTGGGAAGAGGCTTTATGGAAGATAATCCTGTCCATAGGAGGCCAGCGAGGCCTGTGGTCAGTGCAGAACAAAATCACTTTTAACCTGCGTTGCCAAGAGTAATTGCTTTTTATGTCAAACTTAATCGAAAGGATAATATTTAATCTCCACCATAGAGGGTGATACACTTTGGTGCTAAATGAGTTTCTGGATGCGGCTACTTCTCAGCTCCAGGGTTAGGGAGCAAAAATTAAAGGGATAATGCATCTGAATGCTTTCATGTCTTCTCAGCCTGGAGAAGAGAAGGCTGTGGGGAGACCTGAGAGTGGCCTTTTGGTACCTAAAGGGGGGCTGTAAGAAAGAAGGGACAGGCACTTTAGCAGGGTCTGTTGTGATAGGACAAGGGGAAATGGTTACTAACTAAAAGAGGGAAGGTTTAAATGGGATATAAGGAGAAAATGACTCCATCAGGGCCGCTGCCTCCACTTGCTCTTACCCCACAGGAAGACCCCAGCAACCCATCACTGCTGGGTTACATCCACGTGGATGGATTCCAGCTCATGTGTGGTGACAGCATCCTTTGAGCAGCACAGAGCTTGCTATGCTGTGAACTTCTGTTGGTGGTTCAACAAAAGAACATCTCTTTGCATGTCCAGCTCCAAGTCAAAGGCTGGCAGAAGTAACCCAATGCATCCTTATATCCAGTACAGGGCAGTGAATTGTTAAAGGCTCAGCAGTGGTGGATAAGCTGGCAGAACACATCCTAGAGAAGAAATTCCCCTTAAATTGAAACTGAATAATGTGGTTTAATTGCATTAAAAGCAGAAGGCTAGTAAAGGGATTTGGCTGTACACAAGCAGCATAGCATCTATTAAAAATGAGCATTTAATTGGATATTTGTTTTGCTGCTAGCTTACTTGGCTTAAAAATATATGGTATTGCCCTGAAACACTGAAACGATCCCAGTTGGGTGTAGGAAGGAGATGAGGCAAAGGAAGCACTAAGCTAGAAGCAACACATATTTTTGGATAGTAGAGTGTGGACTTTCAGGAGAAAGGAAAAAAGAATCCCAATATTCATCATTTTCATTGCAATAAAGCAAAACACTCTGAGCCACGCTGAGGTTTAGGTATAATGTCCACACACCAACATATGTTGATGGTTGGACTTGATGATCTTGCAGATCTTTTCCAGTTTCAGTGATTCTATGATCTTAAATGCGTCAAGATTATAAGCATGCATTGTTTGGGAAATTCATATGTGTTAAGTGCTATTGGAGTCTGAGAGTCTGCACAGTGACTCTTTTCTAGTTACCCCAGGGCAAGAGAAATTTTGAGCTAAAATCATAGAGGTTAGAGTGAGTTGTTGTCAGCTCCACTGCCATAGCAAATCCTCACCCAATGCTACTTAGCAATCAAAGTTTGATCCACCAAACATAGGATACTGGAATGGAGCAGCAGTGTTTTAGGCAGTGATGAATACCTTGGTGTCATCATGTATACATAAGAGCTCTGCTGCTGCAGGATGCCTGGAGCCCCAAGCAGTGCAGCCCACTGGCATTGTATGGCCACGTAGATGTGGTTTATGTGCAGGAGCTAACATGGAGGCTGGTGGGAAGTCAAGCCAGCTTGTGCCCAAATTCATTGTATGTTGTTTTAGCAGACTGGGAAGATGTGTCTTGGTACTACAAGTGCCTGACAGCAGTTTGCTCCTTGGCTGAGCATTCTGGTAAGTTTTGCTCTGCAAAGGAAGAAGGAACCCCATTGGGAATGGGCAAGAAGGCAAGGGGATGTCTGCCTTTGGAGGGCAGTAAGGTGTGGGGTCTTAGTTCACTGCAGGCTGCTGCTCACACACTCCAGAACTGCTGGGTGACCCCCTAGCAGATTAATTTCACCATCCCTGTGCCTCAGTTTCCCCCTTTTTAAAAGGGAGAATGTCCCTATTGGAGTTCTGTTGCAGGGGAAGGCATCGCTCCCCAGAGGGAACACAGTATTGGAAGACAAAATGAGTTTGCTCCACAGTTTTCTTCTTCCTCTGTGAAATATTGAAGAGTCCAACGAACACACTGAACAGAGATTAATTTTCTTTTTGCCTAAAGCTCATGACCAGCTTATCAGGAGAGCATGAGGTGCAGAAAGCAGCACCTCCAGTCCCACACCTCCCATTCAGCCTTTCTCCTGAGCGGAGCCAGAGAAATAGATGAGATTCAGGCACAGCCAAACCCGCAATAATTTCTCCAAGTTCCTTTGCCCATCTGGCTCCACTCTGTGGATCATTTATTGTGAAGAAAGAAATTTTTTTTTTTTTTTTTTTTTTTGCCTTTGATACTGAAAGCAGCCAGGAGGATAATTGGAATCTGGAAGGTGCAGCAGCTATCGAGCAATCTCAGCCCTTGCAGACCTCTGATGCTCTGTACAACTCCAAGGAGAGCTACAATTACTTCCTGGTGACCTGGACAATGATTTATCTTGTAGCCATGTGGAAGAAAATCTCTCTAATCTGTTTGGTTGTGACTTTGGTTTTTTGGGTGTGTGGGTTTTTTTGCTTTTTTTTTCCTCCTGTACCTGATTAGAATATTTCGTATCTCAGATTAAAGAGAGATTTTCTTTTCAGATGCCTTGGTGGCTTAATTGAGCCTTGGTTGTCTCAGCTCCACTATTCAACTGTGCCCCATTTTGGAGCCTTTATCTCCCCCAGAGGGGCTCTAATTTGGGATGGGGACACTACTGCAGGATGTCAGCAAACTGCTGTCACAGCTCAGGGCATCCACAAACGTTGTTCACACTGCCCTTCTATTCACTGATGGTGGCTCTTGGTAATGCTAGAGCCTGATCCATTAATTTAATGGTTTATTTAAAAGAACAGTCCTTAAAGAAAAGAAAACAAGGAAAAGCTGTGCATTCTGTGATTCTATGACTCTTGGTTATTCTGACCTTTAAAATGATATCCCTGATGAGAAAGAAGATGTTGGTGTGCTGGTGTCCTTAGCAGCTGGATGCAGAGCTCAGAGTGTCTAATAAAACAGAGCAGCTAATTGAAGGGATCTCTTTGAGCTCCTTTCCCAGAGGGATGATGATTTAGTAGCTGGAGACTGTCCTGGGCCAAACAAACAGGAACAGACTGCCCAGGGAATTGCTGGAGTCACTGCCACTGGAGGTGTTTAAGGGAAGAGATGCAGTACTTAGAAATATGGTCAAGTGGGCACTATTGGTGGTAGGCAGATGGTTGGGCTAAATGATCTTTGAGGATATTTTCAATCTTAATGACTCTATGGCTCAATGAAACCACAGGTCCTCAGCTGCTCCTCACACACTTTGCCCTCCAGACCCTTCTGTATCTCCGCAGCCCTCCTTTGGACACTCTGTGATAGCTTTATTTCCTTCTGATATTGTGGTACCCAAACAAGATGGACTACCTGAGCCAAATGCCTTCTTCCTTCCTCAGCCTGGAATCAGCTTTATTTTGGCTCAGATGCCACCTTGAAGAGCTGGCTCCCAAATTTCTACCTGGAAACATGGCAGTAGGCTCCAGTGCATTTCTTCACAGTGTGGAAATGGTTTAAATTCACTGCAAAGAGCCGAGGTTTTCTAAAGGACATTTTCTGTTCTTAAGTTGACATTTTCTGTTCTTTTCATAAAATATAACAGCACATCACAGGCTGCATGAGAAACCCTCCTGGCAAGTGGCAGCTCCAGTGATGGGGAGGATCTGCTTGTGATAACTCTTTGATGCTCCCCTCTATTAACAGAGGCTTTTCATGGGAAAAGGGAAGGCTGTACAAAACCCCATCTCCCACTGCTTCAAGGTAAGCCAGGCCCTTTCCTTTGCTCAGCACTGCGTTAGAAATGAGAGTCAAAGACTTTCTGGGTCTTGTGTGGGGAGCACAGGTCTGCCCTTACTTCCCCACCTTACCGCTGGTAGCTCTCAGCAAGGGATCCAATGCCTGCTGAAGAAGTGACTGCTATGGGATCCACCATGGTTTGGGGATGTGAAGAAGGGAGCACAGGTGCCTGGTGGTGGTGGGAGAGAAAAACTGAAGGAATCTTGCCTGAATGATGGGGAAACACCTACTGGTCTGGCTGGATACATTGGTCGGTAAATCCATCAGACTTGGTGGCTTAATTGAGCCTTGGTTGTCTCAGCTCCACTATTTGACTGTGCCCCATTTTGGAGCCTTTATCTCCCCCAGAGAGGCTCTAATTTGGGATGGGGACACTACTGCAGGATATCAGCAAACTGCTGTCACAGCTCAGGGTATCCACAAACATTGTTCACGTTGCCCTTCTATTCACTGATGGTGGCTCTTGGTAATGCTAGAGCCTGATCCATTAATTTAATGGTTTATTTAAAGGAACAGTCCTTAAAGAAAAGAAAAATAACGGCTGCAAGTTGAAAGATCTGCTTGATACATACAAAAAGCAGCATATAACTGCCTGTAAAGGACACGATGGCCATTAGTAGCTGTAGAGTCCATAGATCAAATACTGCTCTGACCAACTCTGCTCTGACAGCTGATCATTTCCCTGAGAACATGCATATTAATTTTTTTTTCAATAAATACTTTTGTGCCTTCTCTGAAGGCCAGTGGAATTCTGCCATAGACTTTGTCAGAATTAAGATGTGCTCTGCCTCACCTCCTTGCAGCAAGCTGCCTAGATGATAGGGGTGATGCTCCTGGGCAGAATGGGCTGCAGCACTGATGAAGGCACGGATCTCAGCTGGTTTCCAGGTTTCTGGCACCCTCCTACATACAAGTCCACCAGCAGCTTAGAGCCAACCCTACTAGCATCTCTCTTCAGAAAAAAACACAACCTTCACTGTAACTAAGATTCCTCCACTACCTTCACACTTTATTAACAACACAGCTGCATCAGCTGTGATGGAACTGATGCAATTCACACCAGCAGAGATCCAGCTGGGTGTAATTGTCCCATGTGCTTTATAGGCAGGCTGTTCTGCCCTTGCTGGTGGCTGGGCAAGAAGGTGCTTGAAGAAGTGCAGGTTGGTCTGATGTGCAGTGAGCTCCTGTCCCTCACAAAGAAGAGCTGGTAGCTGGTCTCTTGGTGATCTCTTGGTTTCCAGGTGAAATGGAGGTGGATTTTACAAGTTCCCTTTTCTAAACACAGGGTAAGCTCTTAGAAATCAGTCTCTTTAGCTTAGTTTGACGAAGAATAAGAGTAGCTCTGCTCCATGTTCTTTGCAGAGCTGGTCTGAGATTGAAGGTGAGAAAATGAGAAAGGACAGCTGCCCCCTGTGAAAAGCTGACCTAGAGGTGACTGCTGCAGGATGGCTTGTAATGGGAGCTTATGTGTGTGTTGCCTTATGTAAGTCCTGTGTTTTCAGATCACTTCTGGTGTTGGGATCCCATGCTGACTCAAAGCATGTGGCTCTTGCTTTGTAATAAGGCAGGTGCTCACCAACACACCTCGTCTGAGGGGCTCCTTGAGATAGCTGGCAAGGTGCTACTGGGATGTTTGTGGCATAGTAGCCTTGCTAGATATCACAGATAGCTTTTCATTGTCAAAGCTATGACTCCTTGTTGAAATTTCATTTCCTTCTAACTTGTCAAGATCCATGTATGCATGTGCTGGCATAGAGATTTAATAAAATAGCTAGCTTAACTGAGTGCATTAGGGGGTGATCCAAAGCCAGATTCAAGCAGTGTGATTTCCTCTCCTACGTGCACACAAATAATCTCTGCTGGCACTTCCAAGTGGTCTTTGGCTCAAGCTTTAATGACCAGCAGCAAAAGGAAGGGTGTCTCTAAATCTCTGTATCTCAGTTCATGCTATTCACATCATGTGTGAGGCCCAGGGGCTCCTCTGTGATTAAGCTTCTGTTTCTATTAAACATGAGAGGCTGCTCTGTTTGGATACCTCACCTGAGCTGCACTCTATGGAACAGTCCCAGGTTGCAAACTTCTCTGTCACAGAGTATAAGTAGATTCTGTGTTCTTAGTCAGCCTCTTGCCTTTATTGCAGTGAGGAAAATGAATCCTTGTTTTCTGATGTTAACAGTGTATTTCACACAGGCTTCCCTTGGTGGTGATTAACTCCCCAGTGAACACCTCCAAGCCCATCAGTGGTCAAAGGGGGTCAAGGAGGATCTGTTGTGCTTGGGATTTTTCAGTCCTCTTTCTTTGAAGGAAGGGACTGGGCATGAGCAACCCCTGTGCTCTGTGATATAATGGTAGCTCTCTGCTCTGCACTGAGCTGATTCAGTGTGTGTGTTTTCTAAGTTTTCCATACCCTGTGTAATTTTCCAGATGTTTGAATTGTCTCTCTGGAAGAATAACTGGTGCAGACTATTTATTTTTTTCCTCAGAATGAAGTGTTATGATACCCACGGCTGCTGGGCTCTGGTGGTTTTTGTCTGGATGATTGCTGAGCAGTCCTAGAGGAGAAAACACGGGGAGGTGCACCTTCAATCAATATTTCTGAAGGAAAAGCAGTCCTGGAGTCAAAACGTTTGGAGCGAATGTTTTCACTTCAGCTCCTCAAATTTTCATCACGTGGTTCTCAAAGGTTACCCTGTCCTGCACAGTGATTAGCAGCTCCTCTTGTAATTGCCTCGTGTGAAGACTGTTTTAAATGTTCCTGTGCTGGGAATATTAGTTAGTCCTTCATGTGTGTTATGAATGGGAGTGAATGTGAAAGCAGCCCCAACCTACAAGACTTGCTGGGCTACTTGTACAGCTGGGCTCATTCTGGCCTTCATTTTTTTGTCCTCAGTGTCCTCATCCTTATCTTTCTTGTCCTGGGGGGCAACCAGAGGCAATTCTTCTGGGTTGCCCAAGGAGGCTGTGGATGCCCCATCCCTGGAGGCATTCGAGGCCAGGCTGGATGTGGCTCTGGGCAGCCTGGTCTGGTGGCTGGAGACCCTGCATATAGCAGGGGGGTTGAAACTGGATGATCTTTGAGATCCCTTTCAGCCCAGGCCATTCTATGATTCTGTGACTTCACTGGCAGCATTCCTGTGTTTTCAAGTGTGTGCTCTTTGCCTCTCTGTGCACTTCTGAAGGTCTTAGGTCCCTCAAAGTCCTCCCCCAATGAAGTGAGCTCCTCAGTGCTGTGGTTTCTTGGAGTTTCAGCACACAACAGGACTGTCCACTTCAGAAGTATGAGATGGTCTTATGAATGTCTTGAAATTGGGTTAATGTGATCATGAGGGGAAAAGATGACATTTTTCCATGGAAAAATCTCTCCAGCTTCAGAAGACAGTTGTGTTGTGCACAGCCTCTATGCAGCTCTACCCCTTGGTTAAAAGGGGAAGAGGAGACTGGTTGGCCTAAGGGTCCTTCTTGTGGCAGGGCTTGTTTTTCTGTCTCTGATGGAGAAAGGAGGCTGAAAATAATCATGCTTTCTTGAGTGGACACATTGGAATTTCAAATCGCTGCTGCAGAGCCCATGCATGATCCTTGTAGTAATACAGGGTAGGCAGCAATTTGTTACCTGTAAGCAGCAACAATATTCTGGTGTTTTTCTCTTTGGAATGATTGGAGTCTGTCATCCTTAGGTTCTACCATAGTGACGTCAATGAGTTCATGGCATTACTCATGATTGCTTTAGGTTAAGTAAAAGGAAACTTGGCTGCAGCACTACCAATGTGATTCTATTAAGCAGCCTTAGGGCTCCCCCATTTCTTAATGGAAAGGAATGCCACTATCTGCATCATATAGATTGAGAAAATGAGTCACGTTTGGGTGGGAATCTTGTTAAAAATCACTTGGCAGAGGTGGAAGCAGTTGAGTGTTCTAGCTATAGAACTGCAATAGTTAACATGAGCATAAAGATGGAGGAGATCAAAATGAGAGACACGAAGTAGCACTTCTGTACTGAAGTCCAAGCAGCCGTAGCAGTTAAAATCAGGAAAGATTGCCTTTATTCAAATGTAGAGTAACCGGAACAGACATAAAATTGCAAACGGGTTTTCAGAAATGCTGTCCAGAGGTGGTTACGTGCTGTGATGATTGATGGATTGAATTTTTAATGCTCCCTTTGGGTTTACTATAAGCTGCTCACACTTATTATAGATCTCCTATATTTAATTTTGTTATCAAGTTAATTGTATTTTCCCTAAGAGCTCCAGCAGCCTGCTGTGTATTCCTGTGTCTGTGCCAATGAACTGCTCCACTTATTGGCTAATAACTGGCTGTACACATTTTACTTTACAAATGCAATCTCCCTAAATGTTTCAGATAAAACCATCTGCATAAGTATTCTTCTGGCTACTTATTTGGCTTACCTTACTCCAAGCACTGCAATATTTTGAAGTACCTAAAGGCGTAGTGCCTATTTGTGTTTACTCTCAGTGTCTGGACTCTAAATGTTAACACTTCTGGCTTGTGGAATTCAGTGTAATTGCTCCTGTTTGTTCACTATTTGTGTGAACAAATCTTGAACCCAAGGCTGAGAAAGATGGGCTAGGTCAAGCTGTGCCATGTAAGTAGGGAAGAAGTCTGAACTTCCTTTTTTTTCTTTAACTTTTTTGCTTCTATTGGAGTTCTGGTAATGCTTTTTTGGGCATTTCCAAATGTTCAACCTTATTATTCACGTAGTGATTATACCAACTGCTCCTGGTACAGATAGAGCAGCTTGTGCTGTGAGTGGCCAGTCTGGGATGATGCACACACAGCACTCACTTTACTAGGAAAACATGTGGTTGCTGGGTAGGAAGAGCACGATGGGCTCTTGTTTGAGGTGCCCTGTTGCTTTAAGCATCTCAGCTGTGACTAATATGTTCAGTCGAATTTCATTTTCCTGTGCTAGTAAAAATTCTGATGCTGATTGGAGAGATACCATAAACTCCCTCTGTGTGCACTGCTATAATATAGCTCTTTCCTCCCTTATTACTTATGTGTTCCATCATTCCCCAGACAGTGCTGGGATGTGCTAAATGCTTTAAAGCTGCACAGACAGTCTGTGGAGGATTTCATTTGGCAGAGTCACTGCTGGAGAAGCAAAAGGAGCAATAAGCTGGTGATGGCCAATGTCTGTGTGGGATTATTCTTCCCTTCCTTTAGAAGTAGTTGTTGTCATTTTTATGTCTTTCCACAGATAATCTGTAGACAAAGCCTTTCACTTTACATCAGGCACGCTCAAGTCAGGGGGTAGCTATTGCAAATTGCTCTCTGACTTCAACCGAAGCTACTGAGAGTTGTAGAAGACTTCAGAGTCTCCATCAGAATTTGTTTATTTTGTATTGTATTTTCATTCTGACTTCAAATATCAACTGAGGTATCTGTTCTGACCAACAGATACGTTCACCATGGAAAGAAAAGAACCCAGTATGCCACTGGTGTGCTTTCTGATCCTGGATAAATGAAGATCTGAACCCACACTGCTGCTGGATGTCAGATCTTCTGTTAGAGAGTGTTCTTCTCTTTATTTTCTTTTCTATGATCCAGTGAATGTTTTCTTATTTATTAGAGCAGCTCTCTGAGAGCTGAAATCATCTGAGCCGTGATTTGTATCACTGTACTGGTGGTTGAGAGACTCTGATTTGAACTGCATCAAGAACAATATTTGCATGTCCAAACCCAGCTAACTAGCCTGTTGTTCACTCTTGGTATGGAATTTATTGTATGTTACGAGCAATAGATTAATCCCAGACAAAAAAAAACAAATCCTAATACCCTATGTGGAGCTTTTCTGTGCCAGCAGCATGTGTAGGAGTCAGCTGCTGGTGTATCTTTGAAGATCCAGCCCCAAGTCCAGGGAGATCCTGGAGCTGAGATGAGACCCAGGGATAGGCTGTAGCAAAGAAAACCATCTCCTGGTGGTGTCACATCCTTCTGGTTGCCAGTTTCTGGCATGATCTTCCTTCTTGATTTTCCACATCCTTGATAACACACACAGCATCACATCTACATATCACTGTCTGCACATCACCCAGGAGAGCAGCTCCTGCCTGCAGTGTGACAAGGAAGCTTTGATCACTCAGACAAAATCAGGGTTAAAAAGGAGCTCAAAGCACACCCTCCTCCATTGTGCTGGGATGTTGTCTCCACCAGAGCCATGCCTACCTTGTATTGATGTTGTTCCTTCAGCTGCTGGGTTTGATCACTGCCACTTGTCTGCTGATTGCAGGATGCCCTGTTATCCTGCTGCCAGCAGATGTGAAGGGGCAGTGTCTGGGCAGGGATGCTAATAGTCCTGCATGAGTCACCTGCTAGGATTTTCTTCTTAGGCAATGTGAAGCATCAGCTGGACAAGAGTGATGGAGCTTCACTGTGGACCAGAGGTCCAGTGGTGTCCCTGTCCACCCAGATCCTGCTTGTGCAGAGTTGCCCTGCTAGGTGGAGTGGCTGGCTTATTCCTCATAGGTTGGACTTGAAACCCTGTATTGAAGCCTCTGCTGAGGCTGCTGGCCACCTCTGCCTTCTGGTAGAGGGGGGTAAAATACTTCTGAATGCAGCAGGATGGAGAGTTTGCATCCCTTTGTTATAGATCTAAGTTGTGATCTGAGAGTTTGCATACTCGAATGATGGGATACCCCTGATAAGGCTCTGGATGAGAAATACTGGAGATGTTTAGAGGACATATGGTTTTTCTTTTAAAGGTAGTGCAAAGCATCACTACTAGCTATCACCTGTCATACTCTGATCAAGCTGGAGGGGTATTTGCCTTCAGGGAAAGCTGATTAACTTGGCTGTTAGACTTGCAGGATCTACAAATCTACAACCTAATTACAAAGGGAAATAAACTTTTAAGGCAGTTTAATAAGCTGAGTCTCATATGAAGACTTTTTCCTCTACACTGGGAGTACCAGTCTATTTGGACAAGTCACTCCAGTATTCTCCATGAGGAGAAATCTCAGGGAGGCAGAGCTGATGATGCACATCACTAGGGGAAGCTTTCTGGCCCCTGCCATTCTTTATGGATGTCTTTGTTTTCCAGCCATGGGAGGAGTTGAAATCTAGCCTAAAGTGTCAGCCAGAAGTTTCCTCTGAAACAAGTCATGGAAGCTGTCGTGTTGCTTTCAGAGATTTTTGTTTAATCATCTTTCAGGTTGGGCTCTGATCCTAAAAGGCTGTATTTATGGCTGTCACTGATGCTCCTTCTCTTCAGAGGGGGGAAGAATGGAAAGCAAACACAAATGATAAAGAATCCTTAGGTACTGAGGTGGTAAAATGTTAAATGACATTCAAAGACGGTAAATACAGAGCAATATGGTGACAAAACACTCACAAGGTTAGCTGCAACCATTCAGAAAGATCTTCAAACTGTGGTAACACCTTTGAAACACTTCCAGCCTCAGCAGCGATCAACAAAGACAGCAGCACGGGAATGATCATTAGACAGGAATAAATAACAAATCAAAAAATATCTTGTGGCTTTTCTGTAATGCGCAGTATGTTTGCTTTTTGCAATGTGTGCAGTTCTGCTCCCTTGCCTTGGAAAAGACAGAGCTAAGGAAAGGCAGAGTGAAGGACATCAGAGGTGAATGAAGGTATAGGACAAGATATGTGCTAGGAAAAATGGCAAGAAAAAAGAGATGGAATGACTATGATGGAAGTCTGCAGAAGTATCAGTAGCATGGGCACGAGTAGTTAAGGCTTTCTTGTAATGTAGGCCTGTGTGAAGAAAAATTCTTTCTAGTACAAGGTAATGAGGCCAGCTGTAATCAAACAAGTCAATAAGAAGCCAACTTCTCTGGCTTAATGTGGGACAGCAGTTGGTGCTCTGAGGAGATGCAGAGCAGTCCCAGGGATGGCGGCAGGGGGAGGTGGCCCAGGCCTTTGGTGCATAACTGACAAGGCCTCAGTGTCAATTATCACTTTTGCTGGTGTTCCATTGCCAGCTGTGCCACAGCAAGGCAAGCAGAGCAGAAGGAGGAGTGATGGAGAGAGCTCTTA